CACTCAATATTTCACTTCTTAAAACTTTCTCTCTCTCATTATTTTCTTCCCCGCACGACTTATTATCAAAACCTTTCAGTAAAAATGATTTGACTCTTTAATGAGATGATAATCAATGAGGCTTTTTCTCATCAAACAATCCTCATTTATTAAAATGGCTGATTATAAACGCAGTCGACACACAGTGATAAAAATTCACATAAGATATTGCTATAGTATACATGCATGAAAGAATGGTCATGCATGGTTGACAGGTTCCATGGAGTCCCCAGGCTAAAACAGACTGTGAAGAACGGCTTACATTCTATTTATGAAAAATAAGCTAGTGAAAAATCTTAGTAATAGCAGTTGAACGCTGTGTGATATAGTGCTAGAAGATGCGCCCTCGGGTTTCAAGGCATTTAAAATATGACCAGGAAAGAGCTGCTTCCTCAAAGTAGAGTCAATCACAGTGATGTAGATTGAGTAATGCTTTTAGGACCTCCATTTGCTGGTGTGGCACCACTCAAAAAGCATCTACAAACATCTATTAACAATTTGAACATGGAATGTATGAAGTATAAAAATAGGAAAACTGTCAAAAATTAAATGGAACACATGGAAATGGATACCCTAGGCATTAGGGAGATGAAATGACTTGTATTGATCATTATGAATTGGTGAATTAAATGTTGTATTGATCGTTATGAATTGGTGAATTAAATGTTTTCCTTAGCTGGGAATCAAATCAAAGAGGAATGGCATGAAACTCATCTTCAAAGAGAACATTTTAATATCTATACCAAAGTACAATGATATCAGTGAAAGGTATAATATCTATATGCCAACAAGGAAGACCAGTTAATATGACTATTATTAAAATTTAAACACCAGCCACTAAAGCCAAAGATGAGGAAATTGAATATTTCTACTAACCTCTGTAGTCTAAAATTGATGAAACATCCAATCAAGATGCATTGATAATTATTTGTGGTTGAAATGTGAAAATTGAAAAGTAAGAAGGATTGGTGATATGGCCTTGGTGACAGACACAACACCAGAGAATGCTTGATAGAATTTTTCAATACAAAATTTTGACTTATTAGTTGCAAATCTTTTCTTCTATAACATAGTGATATATATGAAGATCCTACCAGATGGAACGCAGAGGAATCAAACTGTTTACATGAGTGGAAAGAGATGAAGAAGAAGAGGTTATGGGTCAGCAGAACATGGTCAGGTGTTGATTGCAAAACAGGTCACTAATCATATCACAAGTTCAAAGTGAAGCTGAATGAAAGTACAAGTCCATTAGAACCCAATATGACCTTGAGTAAGTTCCACCTGGATCTAGAGATCATTTAAGATTTAATACACTGAACACTAATGATGGAAAACCAGATTGGTTATTGCATCAAGGACATCATACATGAAGGAAACAGAGGTCATTTCAAAACACAAGTAAGAAAATGCCAAATTGTGTCAGAAGAGACTGGGAAACTTGCTCTTGAACAAAGATTAACTAACGAGAATGGATGAAATAAAGTAAAAGAGCTGGTCAGAAAAACTTAAAAGGTTGCTCAATAAACTCTACAAGCACCCTCTCCAAGAAGAGAT